TGCTGCAGTTACCCATTTACCACCACTAAGCCTGGACCACTAAACAAACAGGTTTGCCTGCTTTCCCACGGCTTAGCCAGAGAGAATTCTGCAAATGCCACGGTAAGAACAGGGCAGTTCAAAATCACACGGATGGCTGCTAATTGCTTCTGCAACCTCCAGCTTCTACCCAGCACCAGGCCCACAGCTAAGAAGGACACTAACAAACTGAAAAGGCAAAAAAACAGTACTACGGATCAGAACAGATGAAGGAAACACTGCTTACCCTGAAGAAAGAAGATGAGAAAATAGACAAAGTACAGAGATGAATCCTGGAGAAGATGACCTGAATTACAGCAGTTCATGGGGCGGTACCCTCGGAGGGTCACCCTCCAAGTACATAATTAGTGCCAGGCCTGAGAAAAAAAACACTAAGTTAATGCAGCCAAGGGGAGAGGGGGGAGCTTAGGAATTGGGTGGACAGGGCACAGAGGGTATATTTTCTTTCTTAATATATAAGGAGCAATGATGGAAGAAGCAGACTTTCCTCACCCACAGCCAAGTCCTGGCGAAAATCAAGAGAAGCCACTGTAGAGATCAACTCAGAAGATCACTGCTGCTTTGGTAGAGTGGTAAGGCCTGAATAGTGCAGATAGCTTCCAAGGAAAAGGAATTTTTCTTTAAAAGGTGAAGAACAAAGAGTTTCCCTCCCCCCCCTTCTTTCCCCTCACCCCCTCCGCCCATGTAAAGTGTAAACATTCAACCCCAACACACCAAATTCTGGCTATCCTTTGTGTGGCTGAACATGCCAAACTTATGCTAATTACGCAGAAGAGTATTACTCCCATTATGCAGTATACCATCTGTAAAAATGAAACAAAATACAGAATTAAAATAGATGGAAGATGAACAATAAAGGGATTAAGATATAAATTGTTAAGATTTACTCTAAAAATTCATATTTTATTCTAAAACTGTATGTATATATAACAATGTATTTGAAAACTTTGTCCTTCACTTTTAAGGTCATGTCATACTGAAGGGCCCTGTAGCTTGAGTTAGGCTGTGCTGTCACATCAAAGTACACCTGGAAGGAAGCAGCGGATGTGGGAGGGGGGAGAAAGAAGTGTGTAGCCTGGAGAGTTCAGAAACTATCTCCACTGAAGAGGAAAGAAAGACAAGTTAGATGAAGTGGGGGGAAGTAAACATTAAAACACACCAACTGTGAAGAAAAGACTGGGAACAGACTTTGCTTGTAAACCAGAACACTAACAGCTGCCCTTACACTTCACCACAGTTAACGAAGATTTTCATAATTGCCTCAGTAGTCAAAATGAGCATATCCCCATATGAGATATATATATATACACACACACATATATATTTAAACAAAAGATGGTGAATAATAAATCATGCTAATATATCCCAGTTCCTTTAAGCAGAAGTTAAATAATATTCTGTTTAAGCATACAAATTTAAGGTCAACAAGCCACTAAAATCACAGGCTCGGAAGTTGCTAGCATAAAAATATTGAATGTTTACGAGGACATACAAGTTCCAGAGGAGAACTAGTTATATACAGGTTATTATAGTTTAATATAGTTATGTGATAAAATGTGACTGTGTTTGGAAAAAAGAGAACAAAACCAGAAAGCACACACTCTTACTGTGTCTGTGCTATTCCTGAAAACCTTGTAGCCTGTTATTCCTAACAAGTAACTTAAAGCACCCACATCTACAGAGCACCTTGCACCCAAACTATGCTGAAGATATCAAAGGCCTTACAACACATGCAGACAAGCACTATTTTATTGACTAACTCTGCAAAGGTTACTTTCTACTTCCATGCTCTTCCCATCTGAACTCCTCCAACCTGACACACTGCCATGCAGATCCTCTGCCTAAGGTAAACTGTTGAAATGAAGCTAAAAAACCAAAATCAAACAAGAAAACACATTCAAGCCACAGAAAACAAAATACAGTGTCAACCTACCACTTACACTGTAAGGGATCAGAAATTAAATGATGATACTCAGTTCAAGCAGCGAAGAGCATTACCGACAGGACACAGTCCGATTAAAATTACAGAAAAGCTCCTTAAAGTTTTGACCAATAGCTGGACGGATCCTTCTTCAAGAAAACACAAAGCACTCTGAACTGAAGAAGTAGGTGGATGCTTAAGCCTACATATGTTTAAAATAAAGAAGGCCTCAATATATTTCCTTTCAATCAGGCAATATGCTTCTAGACATACACTTATCATGCATACTGAACAGATCCTATACTACTGTTTGCCCCATAGAGGACAAGTCAATTCTCCCTTCAGAAAGCAGAAATGTCAGACATGTGTGTCTGAACACTTCAGCAATGAGTGCTGTAATTAAGCCTGCCTCTTCATGGAAGATCATCAAAGAGTGCCAGGGAAAAAAGTAAGCCTCAGGGGCACAATCTTTCTTCTGTGATGATCTTCCTTCACTGGAATCCCTCCCACATCATTTGGGGAAGAAACTGTACCCTACTTTATAGAAAAAGCAGTACCAAAACCAAAGTCTGTTTCACTGGAAAGAAAATCAGCGTCTGGCTAGAGCTACCCCAACATCTAGGACTTGCAATTATGCAGGACAGACACCTCCCCCACACTCAAGGAGGGGAGTAATACATAGTGCTCCACTTTGCCATGGATCTTTAAGGGAAACTGGTTAAATATTCAACCTGAACAATGCAATAACCTAAGCACAGGTCTCTGAACTCTGAAAATCACTGATGATTTTGACTAGCCTCTTTCTGCCATGTGCCAGCTGTCTGCAACTACCTCTCCCATGTGCATTGGCTAGTCAGTCATGATCTCGTGTCATACTTCAGCTGGATCTGTGTTAGCATCCTTTCTGTACTCCCACCCCCTTCACTGCAGTTCTCTGAAGCAAAAGCTGTCTACACCTCTGTCCAACAGCCTCCATTATTAATTACCCTGCTTTGAACTATCATAGTCCGTACATATCAATCTTATAGCTTTATTCAAGTCTGTCCAAGCATTCCGCAGTTGTATATTGTTATTGCAACGTAGCAGGCCTACTGCATGATCAGAAATAAGATTTGTGTTAGGTTTTTTGCTTACTTTTACATAGTCAAGCACAGTATTTTTGTATCAGATTGTTTTGCCATTAGTTAATTTTCCATACCGTGGATTCTGCTCAAAATGTCAGCTGCTGTGCTGCACAATACTACTACACATATTCAGAACAAAAGCTTAGGGTAAAACAAAACCCACTTCCTTCCAAACAAAGCCAGTCCCTTCTGGCTTTCTGGGCCTCCATTATGATTGAGTCACTAGGAAGAAGTAGTTTTCCTAAAAGCTGCAGCTGTCTTGACAACATAATGCCTTAACTACAAACAAGTTTAGTAACTCATGTTGCCAATTTCCATGTGGTTTAATAATGCAAAGGTCAACAGCAATATTCCTAAGCCTCTGTGTTTCAAATACCAAGAGTGACACACTTTGAAATCTAGTTCTTAATTTGTAGTAAGTACTGCAGAAAATAGACAACAGAGAAACCCTGGGAAGCAGGAAATGGACCTCCTGCATGATGTTGAGAGGCAGCAAGCAGACTGCCAGCATCACAGCAAGTACTGTACAGCATTGCAGCTAATAAATAGGAATGACCTAAGGCTGCATGAACTCTGACCCCTCAAATCTCCAACATCAAAGAACGCATAGGTTCTCACTTCATTTTATTACTCAGTAAACAAGAGAAATAGTTACCATCAAGGTGTGTTACAAGTCAAAGCAGAATATGAATATGGTACATCACATCTTTCATTCTGAAGCATTCAGCATTTTATCCCTTGACTACACTTTTGTGTACCAAACACTGATTCTTTAGATGCAGTTGTGATGTAAAGTCAGTAATTTTCCCCTTTGCAGTCAGGGACCCGGCTCAATACATTTTCAGCCAACTTGTATACTCTCAGGCTTTTTACCAGCTCTAAGCCTACTACACAATCTCACTCCTTCTCCTAGGTTAACTGAAGAGATGACCTTACGAAGAAGCAGCTGGGGAAGATAAGGTGTATTTTCTGGCCCTCTACTCCATTCTCGTGAGACCCCACCTGGAGTACTGCGTCCAGCTCTGGGGTCCCCAGTACAGGAGAGACATGGAGCTGTTGGAGCAAGTCCAGAGGAGGGCCACAAAGCTAATCAGAGGGCTGGAGCACCTCTCCTATGAGGACAGGCTGAGAGAGTTGGGGTTGTTCAGCCTGGAGAAGAGAAGGCTCTGGGGAGATCTGATTGCGGCCTTCCAGTACCTGAAGGGGCCTACAGGAAAGTTGGAGAGGGACTGTTTATCAGGGAGTGTAGTGACAGGCTTTAAACTGAAGAAGGGTAGATTTAGATTAGATATTAGGAAAAAATTCTTTACCATGAGGGTGGTGAGGCACTGGAAGAGGTTGCCCAGAGAAGCTGTGGATGCCCCTTTCCTGGAAGTGTTCAAGGCCAGGTTGGACGGGGCTTTGGGCAACATGGTCTAGTGGAGGGTGTCCCTGCCCATGGCAGGGGGGGTGGGACACGCTGAGCTTTGAGGTCCCTTCCAACCCAAACGATTCCATGATTCTATGATTCTATTTAAACGTGCATGTAATGGGAGATTATATAATATACTTCGTGCAAGATAATATTTCACTGTTTTAAAAAAGAAAAAAGAGAGTATGTGTGGGTGGGGGAAAGAAAATACATCAAGAAGCAGTCATTTTTTCTAAATGAAAATACCCGTAAAGATTTTTTTTTCAGTGGTGCTCTTAGGAGCACAGACTGCAGCAGAGAGGAAAAAAACCCAAAACCACACAACTCCATCCACATACTTGCTAGACTTTAAAAACTGTCTTAGTATGTGGTACCTTACTATAAAATAGATGAGTAGGAAGATTGTTCAAGAAAAAATAATTTTTATCTTGCTGCTTTAAAAATTGAGTATGAAGACATGAACACATTTAGCAAGCTGATGTAATGTAAAAATTTAAATACTTACTGCGTAGGCGCCTATGAGGAATGCAGCATTTGCTTGTTTTTTCTGATCAAAGCCAGTATAATGAATTATTTTCTTCCTTATCAATGACAATGACTGTATCAAGAAATGAACAAGATTATGATTTTGCATTTTTGACTTTTCATGCCTTCTTTTACAAAATCAGAGGAATGCAAGGGTCTGTTCACCTGCTTTAAGCCACCTGTATTCAGAGGACCAAGTATACTGTAGACTAGTCCCTCAAAAGCTTTGGAAGACTATTGCATCCCTACTTAGATTGTTCCAGTATTTTTCCCAGTATCCACCCTAAATCATTTTTTATACAAATTACAGTAATCTTTCTTTTTCTCCTTGAATGCATTTATTACTTCTGACTTCAAGCCCTATGTAACAGATATGCGTTTATGAGAAGTAAATACAAAGTGGCATTCTCAAAAGCATCACAGGTCCCCACTATACAGGACAGGCTGTGGACAGGCTGGAGAGGGTCCAGAGGAGGGCCACCAGGATGATCAAAGGACTAGGAAGCCTGCCGTAGTAGGAAAGGCTGAGAGAACTGAGTTTGTTCAGCCCTGAGAAAAGGAGACCTCATCACCATGTTCCAGTACTTAAAGGGTGGCTACAAAGAGATGGAGAGTCCCCTTTTACAGAGAGCCACATGGAAAAGATGAGGGGTAGTAGGTACAAGTCACTCCTGGGGAGATTCCTACTGGACACAAGAGGAAAGTTTTTCACAATGAGAACAATCAGCTATCGAAATAATCTCCCCAGGGAAGTGGTGCTTCACTTTTAAGATTCAGCTGGACAGGGTGCTGGGCCATCTTGTCCAGAGCGTGCTTTTGTCTAGAGAGAGCTTTTGCCAAGAAAGGTTGGACCAAATGATCCTTGAGGTCCCTTCCAACCTGGTATTCTATGATTCTATGTTAAGTTGCAATAGTTCTGAAAACACAAAGTAGACTTTTTTTATTCTTAAAGAAAACCTGACTCTAGATAAATCAACTAGTAGTTGTGTCTAAGGATCAGAACCACTGGAAATATATCTTAGATTAAAATATTTTGAAAGTATTTCTAAACTTTATCATAAATAACTTCTACAAATTTCATCTAGGCTTGGCATATAGTTTCTCTATTGTAGAAAGGGGGTGGAATGGCACTGCCAATAGAAAGGACACTTACAGCTGTGGTGGCAGCAAAAACTATCCCTTAACTGGCCCTTGAAACAAATTTTGATGCACGTGAAACCGCATACTTTGATCGACAAGCTATCATAAAATGTCACTATTTAAATAGCAAAGTTACTTGCTCAGTTACTATTCAACGCATTCAAGACAAATAAACCTCAGATCACCGCAGATGTATGTTCTCAGCAATCCTCACATGCTTCTCCAGTATCAAACCCAAGATACACAAAGGGATTATAATACAGACTTGTGTTGCTTTAGAGCATCCTGGAAACAAAAATCAGAGAATCTTGTCTCTGGCAAACCTGTTCATAGTGCCATGGGGACAAAGCAAGTCCGAATTATGCAAACTAATACCAGTGACAGGCATGAAGGAAAAAAAAAATCTCTGTTAAACTACAGTGTTCTGCATACTTCCCAATTTTCACAGTTCAGTGGCAGTTTCAAGATCTAAGCAGTTTTGAAAAGGCAAACTGCTACTCACATTAACGCTAAGAATTTTTTTATCTGCCTAACAGGTTTTATACGCCAACATCTGTTAGAGGTCAGCTAACTTGAAGTCATTCATGTTAATTAATATAGGAACTTTCGGTTTTAAAGAAACTATGCTCTATCAAGACCCAATCCTGCAAATTACTGCACACCCCCCCTCAGGTAAGATAATCTGCAGTAGGAGCATGGCAGTCTCCTTCAGGACAATGCCATAAACGCTATCAAAGATCAAACGTTGCTTCTTACCAAAGTGATGTCAGGACCAGAAAAGAAGCCCAAGTCAAACAAAAAAATCTCAAAAAAATGTTGCATTGCACCCTCGAGCTCACTCAATACTGGCAGATTGCCGAGAAGTCTGAATTCCAGGAGGGGAGCTTTTCATTTAAAGAAGTCTGTACTCATTTAGCAACTGATCTTTTAGGACCTTAACATTAGTTACTGCCACAGTGGTGCATCTTCTGGATCTTAAAACTGATTTTTCCCTCCTCCCTAAATTCACCTTGATAAAATTAAGCATTTATATTCTAAACTTAGCTGGATTAGGAACCCAGGAAAGCACCTAAACAACAACAACAAAAACCTTTTGGTCCATTTGTTTTTGTTCTTTAAAAAGTCAAGAATATGGAATTAAAAAAAAAAAAAGCGTTACCTTTAATTTCTTATTTAGCTTGCAGCAGTATCTGTAGACCATTGCCAGATTGAGTGGTCCAAAGTCTGCATAGAAGCTGGTAGGAGAAAGGGGAAAAATTGTACATGACCTCTGTAAGTGCATTTTTTTTTCAATTAGATGCAGAAAGCAAGGAGTAATAATATATACATGATATATGTACATCATTCTAAAAACAAGAGTGCCTTCTTACGTACATATTATTTTGCTGGAGGAAACGGTTTTGTCATCTTTAAACAGGGACTAAAATTTTTTCTTTGCTTTCCACACACCACCACTCAAAAATTAACTCAAAAATACTCAAAGTTTGAAAAATTCTCACTGTTTTATCACTCTGTGACACTAGTTTAGAAAGTCTGTTTTAAGAGCAACCCAAAAGCTTTACTTTAAAAGAAGGCAATTAATATTGCTAAGAAAAGTGAACACAGAGAATAAAGATTGATTAGTTCTTTCAAAAACAGTAGGCACGCCCTTGGTCAAAAATATTTAAAGAATTAGCAGCATTCCAGATCACATACAAAGGCATACACTGTTCACTACAGGGGAAATACTATATCCATTGTCAGCTCATAAAGGCTTGAATTGATTTTTCAAATTTTTCTCTTATACTAGGAAATTTGGACATTCCGCTTAATAGCTGAGCAACCAAAGACATCCCCTTCAGCTCAGCAGTCCAGTGTGCACTTCTGAATATATATTGTTGCATCATGTTCCTGTGTCTTCTAACAAGAATGGGTACAATGAAAACTTCTGCTTTGAAAAGATTTCTAAGAAATCCTGATGGGAAGCCAGGTAACCATCTAAGATGTATAAATCAACACAGCAGATAAGCCTGAGAGGACCAAACTGGTATAATTAGTTCTATAACGGGAACAGTATGTTTCCCTCAGCTGCATTTAAAAACAGAATGTCAATTAGACTGGTTCCTCATTGCTGTTATTCTGGCCAATTTATTTCTATTAAATAAAAAAAAAAAGGAAAAATAAGTTTGTACTTACTTCTCATATACAAGTTCATCATCTATGCAGAAATAATGGGTATTTGCAGCTCCACTCTTTGGTTTTTGGCAGAGAATTGCAAAATAAAGGCGATCTGAAATACAAGAAAATGTAAAGCTTTTATAAACATCACACTTTTCTGCTGGAAGTCTGAAGTATTACCTGTCAATAGAACAACTTCAAATGCTTTAAAATGAAACAAATCTTCTAAGTATTACCGAACTAGATATTACTATTTCTCCAGTGTTAAGCAACAAGGCACACAATGGCTGAGGCTTTTTGCTCAGCAGTGTTCCCATAATGTGCAGCTTTTTAGTGTTCTTTCCCAAATAAAGTGTTCCCAGGAAAGCTACCTGTTTGATGACTTTACAATTTCGCAGGAGCCCAACTTGCACCCACAGAGAGAGCAGATACCCACCTCCTTTTGGCAACAGACCCCACCTGTTGCACTCTGAATACCAACATACCTGCACACCCCCAACTAAGCCACAAATCCCTCAGCATCTCATAGCACCTACATTAAACTAAACAGCGAAGCGCACTTCTGCTGGAACACAGGCACTTCCTATCCTTCCGTAAAACGACGATTTTGACGGTAATTAAATCCCGCAGGTGGCAGATGCTGGAGGGATGCGAGGGGTTGAGGTAGCAACCCACGGCTGCCCGCAGGAGCACCATCTGAGCCACCACCTGGACATCCCCATCCGCATTCTCATCCCCACTGCCCCTTCGAAGTCTGTGTGCATGCAGGCAGAAGGCACCTTGTGCTTGTCCTGGCTTCCTTTGTTAAGCTGAGGGGGAAAAAAATGCCAACGGTATTCACATAAATTATTTTTATGGCCAGGGGAGCTGTAGCCCCAGTGAACTTTAAACACTGACTGTGCTGCTGCTGTAAATTGCTGTGTTTGCGGTAATTGGTCAATAAAAATTGAGGCCTTGCAGCACCACAGCAATACTTTTCTTCCGCCTGCTGAAAAAAATAGCATTATAAAATACACGGATTAAAATTCAAATCTAACAGGAAAGATTTTATTTTTTGCAAACTAGTTGTCTGGAGCAGATACATTACTTAAATATCAAAACAGATCAGCTACCTATAAACATGTAATTTCAAAGCATAACTTCTGAAAAAGACAAACTGTATCTCCTTTTCCAGAGAGCAGGAAAAAAAAAAAAATCACTTTATGCTTCAAAACAAAATCCTTCATGAAATCATTACTTGTATCTTGAAAATAATGTAAAGTATGCCATGAGAGGTATCCCCATGTCTATAGTTCAACACTCACATGCTTGGTGCTCACCTATCTACAGCAGTATCTCAGGGGGTGGAGGCAGACACCACCACCAAAAAGTGTACATTTGGTAAATGCGCATTTCATTAGAACAGCTGCCTGACGTGAATGATTTGGCTTAAACATTTACAGCTCAGTGCAACCAGTGGGATGTACAGTAACTCCTGAGCAAGTCAGGCACCTACTTCCCTACTCTCTTAGCAAAAGGAAGGCACCAGACTTGCTTATTTAATTTCTAATACTCCCATCTTGTTGGCACAGCAGCTGTAGTACTAGCTGGGAAGTGCATTACCTGCTCAAACTTCTGTACCTCCCAGCATTTACCAAAGCATCTCCTGAAAACAAGACAAAGGGTAAAATTTACAGTAATGCTGTGCATTTTTAAGAAGGAATTACACTGACCCACAAAGGGAAATATTTGTGGTGAAGCAAGTGCACTGATACCCCAACCAGATGCAAAATACGCTATGGGGAAAACTGTGTCACAGAAAACTATACCCTCTAACAGTCAAGGGAAAGCATTTAGACCAATGCTTTGGGGGTGCAGGGAGCCTGCACAACTCCCCTGCACCTGTCCCCACCACTGTGTTACTCCCTGTGCTGTGTCAAGGTGGATTTGTGTGAATCAGAAACTGTTACAGGTATCCTAGCACAATATTAAAAAAAACCCACAAAACTGCTTTGCTGGTTCACTTCCCGCTGCCCTAAGAACGAGAGCTAATGTGTGTGTGGGAGGACTGAGAGCTAAGGAGGAAGGCAGAAAGGAGAACTGAGAGGATATGATATCTAGGGATTGTGTTTAAACTGGCATTGCTAGATTAAACACGCATCACACTACAGCCCCAAGGTATAATTTCACACCACTTCTAAACTGATTTAATGGCTAGCTGCCACCAGGTTCATTACAAAGAAAAGTTTTCTTCTGAGTTAGCTCACTGAACTAGCCCAATAGGGGTTAACACTGGGAATACACAGACAGAATTTTTCCCTCGATGGGATCTGTCCTTCAGATCCAGTCTAATTATTGACTTAGACTGAGCTCTCCACGTACACAAACAACATCCGCATCCAAGTCTGGGCAGAATGGCTGTAGTACTCAAACTGACATGCTACCTTCTTGCACACCAGCTTCTTCACATGAACTTTACATCACTTTTGAAAATGTAAAAGCACTACACAAAGAGTAATCCAAAATCCTCAAATACAAAAGGAGGATCAAAATTGAAAATAAAAAAATAAAAATTTGCACAGGTCAAAGACCTAAAATAATTTAGCATTTTGCTCCTAAACAGGATTTGGAGTAACACAATCACTTGCTTCCTCAGCATTCCTACTTTTTCTGAAAATCATCTGCAGCTGTTGCAAAAATGTCCAAGAAAAATAAGAATTCCTATCTTGAGTAAACAGTGTGTACTGGGCCCTTTGAATAGCTGTTGGCATTAAATTCTGCACTGGTATCTCTGGATCGTGTTAATTATTGCTATTCTTAAACCACCTGAAAGAACCTTGAGTTTAATGAATTTACAGAACTACCTCACAGTAAGAGCAGTGTGTGTCAAATGCTAATATCCTGACAAGCTGTCCGTTCCTGTGCACTGCTAACAATTGCTCCCTGTTACGTAAACAGCAGGCTCCATCTTTTTAACATGTTTCCCATAGGGAGATTTTAGAAATGAGCTACAGAAAGAAGTCCTTTCCCATAAGTGTATTTAACTTTCTACTGGCTTACCAGTCTGATATCAGATAAATGCTGTATTACTCACCATGTCTGTTTTTACCTGGTTTTTTTGCAAACACATTCCCAGTTCTGTTTATAGTAGCCAGGGATTAGTGTGTTGATTTTTCAATAGGAGGAACACAGGCTGAGAAAGGAGAATTCCTTCATTAAGGATCTGATAGCAGGATGAGCTCTTGTATAGAAAATACACCAGAGCACCGATGAATTTATTTCACTAGGACTCTACAAAGATTTGGACTGCAGGAGCAAGGCTTCAATTTTATTATTTTTATGTTTCCTTTGCTAATTTTAGCTTGCTAGTATTCCATTTACATATCGCGTACCCGAGCACTTCCAGATTCCTGCAAATTTCTGATAAAAGGTCATCCTAAAACTATCAAACTAGAGCAGACCTTTCTAATCGTCTCTCAGAAGAATGAGAGAGTAGGGCTCGCTGCCTTACAGGCTGCATCTGCACAGCAATTAGGAGATATGACTGCAGTATGTTAGACATACTTCAATTACATTTAATTTTGTTAGCCTCATAAAGCAAACCAGTTACAGAAACATGGATATCACTGTACACAATTAATTTGAGTAAGCATGCAATGTACAAAAAAAATGAGCCTGCATACCGCTAACCAAGGACTATGTTACCACAGCTTTGCTACTGCTGGTACTTAACTAGTGAGATTAAAGCTAGTACAAGCATGTCTACACAAGCTATAATAATCACGCATCTGATTGCAGTGTGTGTACAGAGGGAAAAGCATGTTGCTTGTTTTTCAGATCTACAGTGTTATGTGGAAATAGATGTGTAGAAAGCTGAGCGCTACCACCTCAAAATCACGTTAATGTGAATATAAAGATGGCAAAATAAACTTCCCTTTACTCTCAATAAGCCTGATGCCTCTGAGGATCTGCTGCACAGGCCTTGGGGAAAGAAATTTCAGTAATTCAAGAGACAACTAAATACCAAACAGGCACTCACTGCAGGACAAGTCTGCATATGATCAGCAAAGATTATTTCATAAAAAGAGAAATTCTACTGTTCTATTGTTAAACAGATGCCTTAGATGAGAAATTCAGAGGAGACTGACAGTACAACAAAAAACAACATTAGTCTGTTTTGAATTACCAGGAATGTAACCACAGAGTTATTTACTATTGTAAGAGGAGTGTATTTCTAAATTCAAAGCTGGTACAAGGTATTTTGTTGTGTTGATTTAAAAGACTTAAAAATATCAGGAAGACACATGAGAAAACATAAAAGACAAATTCTGTTGCAATGTCAAGACAAAAAGCAAAATTGTATGAGATTTTCTTTTTAGTCATTCTATCCTTGAAAAGATTCATTCACTCATCACTATGATATTTCACATTTAAGTGATGATAGAATTGGGAGTTAAAACAGCCTACCCTCTGACAAAGAAAATGAAAGCACACTAAAAAGCCAAAGGAACTTTTCATTTAACAGAAAACCATGGAAAAAACTATTTTCAGGGTCATGTCACAATTGATCAACAACACTGTTACTTTACTCAAATAGAATCTTTGCACTCTGCTACTCCTGTCTGATACACAAGACTACTTTACATGTATTCATACACTCTCAGTGCTGGATTAGATACTAAAAGCCTTAAACTCCTAAAATCTTAGCTTTCAGACTCACAAGTGAGGTCATATTGATAAAAGAGTAAATACAACTTTTGTATTGAGATAATTGTATAATGAAAACTAATTGAAAGTGTTGACAGTCACAATGTTGGAAAGCTTAATGATAGTTGGTAGAAGTGTCCTTAGCATTAAAATAAAACCCCAAACTTTTCTACATAATACACAAGGTTTATAATGACAAGCCACCAATACTGGAAAAACAAAAGACAACTCAATAGTTTGAAAAAAAATCGAACACGAAACCAAAAAAACCCAACCCACCTATCACTGAACATAGTAAACCAAATGCTATTTCATAAAAACTCCAAGTGATAGTGTAAGTAAAATGATTCTCAATAAAGGAAAAAAAAAAAGGCATATACAGTACAGCTTAGAGCATCCTTTGAGATGTTAGTTCCTCACTGTAAAC